ATGTCCTTGGTGAGCCAGGGAGGCTTTTGGGCACTCTTGCCCCCCTTGCTTGTTGGGATCGTCACCCCGTGGGCCCGGAGTATCGTCTCCTTAAGGAACGACCACTCGTCTTAGGCACTGAGTTCCCCTGCCCTTGAGAACCCCAGCGCCTCTCCCACCAATCTCCTCAACTCGTTGAAGTTGGCCCTCTTGAAGTCTAGGGCTACCGCCTTGCTGCAGGCCCTTGACACCCTGCGCTGGATGATGAATTCCAGCAAGTGATGATCACTATCACCCAGGTGGTCAAGGACCTGGAGCCCCCTTACCAGATCATCGCCTGTGGCCAGGACCAGGTCCAACAGGGCATTTCCTCTGGTGGGACTGTGCACCTCCTGGGTTAAGTGGAGGTCCTGTATCTCAGCCAGGAACCTCCTGGAATGGTCCGACCTGGCTGACTGCTCCTCCCAGCAGATGTCCAGGTAATTTAGATCGCCCATGACAACTACATCCCTTGCCTTAAGTGCCTCTGCAAACTGGCCCGAAAATTCCCAGTCCAGCTCCTCCCCTTGGTTGGGGAGTCTGTAGTAGACCCCCACCATTAAATCCCTCTCCCCATGACCCCCTTGCATCTTGACCCAGAGCACTTCAGCTTGCTCCTCCTCTGACCCCATTTTGCTGGCAGAGGACATAGGGCACCACACCTCCTCCCTTCCTTCTTTCTCTATCCCACCTGTAGCGCCTATAGCCCCTAATGCTAACTGTCCAGTCATGGGATGAATCCCACCACGTTTCTGTAAGCCCTACTATGTCGGTTTGAACTGGCTATTCTGAGGGCAAGTTAATCAGTTAATCATTATGACAGTGTTAATCAGTTTACTGCAGCCTAATAGCATCAGGTGTGTAGATGGTGACACAACTCTGCATCTAATTAGTCTTCTCTGCAGTTAAATACACATGTAGATGCAGTCCCTTAAAACCAAATGATGTAGCAAAATCAATATTGGCTTTTCCTTGTTATTAAAGGAATTCACAAGTATTTAGCACTCAAACTTGTAGGAAACCCTACCATACATAACTACTTTCATTAAGCTGAATTCACAAAGCACAAGATGACATTTTTGATGAAAAACTTTGGCTAATTGACTCTTGAATAATCAGACTACAGAAAGAGGAATGCAGCTGGTTTGGACAGGTAACAATGGTCAAGCTACAGAAAAGGAATCTGTAGAATTTTAGAAATTCCACTTGATAAAAATAATTTTGGTGACTCTTTTGGAGTTTTGATCTGTTAGTTTTGCTGTTTGGCTTATTGCCAATGTGTTATAAAATTACAATTTTGATAAAATGTGAATGATTTTAAAAAATGTAAAAAACTGACACTGCTTTTTTTATGTCTTTTTCAGATACACAGTCAGGTATGGACCTAAGTAATTCTCAGGAACAGCAAATGGCTACAGGTACTCTATTCCTCCCTTACATATATTAATTTGAAACAGATTTTCATTGGCCTTCTTGCCATAATTATAAACAGTGAAGTAGCTAATTGTTGATGCTTAAGAGTTTGATTTTTTTTTTTTTCAAAAGCATCTAATTGCCTTAGATGCACAAGTCCCACTGACTTCAATGAGGCTACTCACATTGTTCAATGTAAGCATGTGCTTAATTTCTTTTCTGCATTTGGACAAGAATGCTCTGCATCTTGGAAAATGGCATCTCAGATGGACCTACTGCATTTTGTGATGATTTTTTAATGCTTTCTTCAAAGTTCTTGCTTACTTACTTTCTAATTCATAAAATTCAGTAATTCACTATGGGACTCCCAGTCAGTAGGGTGCATTATGAAGGCCTTGCCATATTTCTATATAATTATGATATATCAAGTACACATTCATACCTGTTTCATCCTGACTCAAAAAAAGCACCAGAATAATTCATAAGATCATAGAAAAGTAGGGCTGGAAGGAACCTTCAGAGGTCATTTAGTCTAAACCCCTGCTGGAGGCAGGATCATCCTTATCCAAACCATCCTCTAATCCATTGTCTAATCTATTAGTAAAACTACACAGCCAGCCCTGACACAAGGCATAACACCCTAACCTGCCACAGGTAAGTCAGGGGGAGAACAATGTCCAATGTCCTGCTGCTATAAAGGCTATTTAAAATATATTTGAGGGATCCAAAGAAGAGAGCCATTTCCTTCACTACAGGGAAAGGCAACCCCCGCACTTCCCCAACAGTTTCCACCAACCTAAGCATGGGGTAACATTCCTTCCTAATCCCAAATCTGGCAATCCGTCTAACCCTAAGCATAGGGGCAGCACTCCCTAGCCAGGAACCTCCATATTTAAGTCTCAGCAGGAGCATTGGGATACCTAAATAAATTAAATCTGAACAAAAGAATTATACGTGTATACTTATGGTTGTATATTTTTGGCATAGGTGTTTGGTTGTCATTTTAGCAAAGTGGGACTTATTCCCAGATCTGCCATTGCCTCAGTGTGTGACTAAAAGCAAATCATTTCAGCTACGTTGCAATGGCACCCATCACTAATAAGGGTACTAATATTAAACATTTTGATTTAAAGTTTGCAAAGTGTATTGAGATAATCACATGAAAAATGCTCTTAAATAACAGCAATTAATGGCTGATTCTTTAACATTTCCCTTTCTTCAGAAGGACAGGAAGTATTGACAGACTGTAATTCAAACAAATCCCGGGATGTGGAAAATATGGATAAAGGGGAAGACATGAAGGAGCATAGTCAACCTAATGAAGAAGCAGGAGGTAAATTGAGGACCATAAAATGAAAACTGAGTTCAAGATTTCCTTCTTGAATTTAGTTATTTGAAGCTTCCATATAGATCAGAGGCCCATTTTGCCTACATCCTGTATAAAACTAGAAAGATGAGTTTGAGGTTTCAACACTTTACCAGATATTCTTCAGGTAATATGCAAAACAGAAGAACTACTGAAATTTTCCATTAACCAATTCCATGCAGAGATTGTACACAGTGCACTTACATACATTCGTGCAACATATACAATTAGGTTCATTCTCAGATAAATACTATTTGCATTTAATAAATGGTGTCATATAGATTTAATTTATTATTTAGCAGTGGCAGCACAGGCCGGTAGTTGGTGGCAGCAGCCACCGTGTGCAAGCTCCCCCCCTGCCCTCCCCCAGCTCCCAGAAGGTGGTGGCAGTGCAGAGTGGTGGTACGTGGCGCTTCATCCCCGCCGCCCCCCTGTCATGCTTGATGAGCAATTCGTTAGTAATTTATAAAATTCAGTAATTCACTATGGGACTCGCAGTCATTAGGGTGCATTAAGTAATTACAGTGCATTAAGTTTAGTACCTGTTTTAACAGGTACTAACTTCATGCGTTGTAATCGGTGCTACTGTGCAGTAGCACAGGTGCTTTCACCATGATGTGCTAATGTGCAGTAGGGTTAGTCTAATGCACTTCTAGCATCTCATGTAGACATGCCCATAATATGTTTTGATCACAATCAAACATGTTTGATGTTTACACAACCAAACATATTATATACATGAAGTAAATAATAAATACTGATAAGACAGGGAGTTTTATGTCATAGAGGGCACATCTACACAAGATGCTAGAAGCACAATAGATTAATTCTACTGTGCATTAGTACATCACGGCAAAAGCCCTGCTAATGCGCAGTAAAGTTAGTCTACTGCACATTAGCATCATGGAAAAGAAGTGTGCCTGTGCTACTGTGTAGTAGTGCCAGTTACAGTGCATTAAGTTAGTACCTCATATTACAAGTACTAAACTTAATTAGTTCTAATTTTGGCACTTTAATGCAGGTGTAGACATGCCCAAAGTTTCAGATAATGAAATGTATGATTGACTTACCTGATTTTTTTGGTAACATAGTGCGGAATCATTCACACAAAGGTGAGATTTTATTATTGAAAATCATGCACTGGAATGTTTTGGGAAAAAGTAGTTTGTATATAAAAAGTCAGATGTGCTAAGAGGACACTGTACATCAATATTACTAAACTAACTGTATCAGCTTGGATTACTACGATGAAGTTCGCTAAAGAAAGAATAGATTATTACAAACTCTAAGGGAAAGGCAACCTTTCCAAATCTCAAAATATTGTGCACAGTAGGCACATCTACGTGAGCAGCTTAGTGTGCATAATGGTGGTAGCCTAATAACACTGCACAGTAGTGTGCTGGGCAAAAACCATGCTAATACACTACTGTGCAGCAGGGGTGTGCGAAGTGAGCCCTATTTGATTCAGATTTGGCCTGAATCAGGAACAGTGATTCGATTTTGTTGATTCGGGTCTCTGTCCCTGATTTGATTTAGCTGAATCCGAATTTGAAGATTCAATGCTTATTTGGACATAGATACAGCTTTTAAAGTTTTTTCTACATACCTTGAGGTAGCAGGCATGGCTTGTAAATGCTGCAATACTGGGGCACATGGAGCGTTCCACAGGAGTACTGGGGGGCCCTCCACATGCTTGCCAGCAAACCTGGAAGTGGACCCTAAGTATTTCCGGTCCACTTCCGGGATTGCTGGGGACCATGTGGGGGGAACCCCTGTGCCCCCAGCTTGATCAGCCACAGGGGGACCCCAGGTGCTCCCCCCAGACCCAGAAGGCACCAGTCACCGAGCTGAGGGTATGCAGGGGGGGCCTCCCTGCGTGCTCTCCGGCAGACCCAGAAGTGGACTGGAAGTGCTTCTGGTCCACTTCTGGGTCTGCTGCTGAGCATGCAGGGGAGCCCCCCATGCTTCTGTGAGACACTCCATGCACCCCAGCATCGCAGCACTCACGAGCCACTGCTACCTAGAGGTATGTAGAAAAAACATTTAAAGCAGTCTCTGTCTGAATCTCTGAATCTTTCTGAATCTCTCCCAATCAATTCGGAGGGTTCCAATTTGATTCGGAGAGATTAAAGGGTCCTCTGATTTGATTTAAATCAGGCTGAATTTCCACCAAATCGAATCGGGGACCAAAGCTTCGCACAGCCCTACTGCACAGTAGTATTAGGCTACTGTGCAGTAAGTGTCACTAAAAAACCATGCACTGGAGCTACTGTGCAGTAACTGTAGTTACTGTGCATTTAGTTTTATACTTCATTAAGCAAGTAATAAATTAAATGCACAGTAATTACTGCACATTAATGAACGTGTAGACACACCCAGTTACCCAGTAACTGTAGGGAA